GCCCGTAAGACCTACGCACGTCCCATTTTGGAATACGGTACAATAATTTATTCGCCCCACGAAAAAGTTCTCATCGTAAACCCTTGAGGATGGTTGGGAGATGATATCACGGAGGAATTACTGATCAGAATCCATGGTTTTTACCTTGTGGGAATTTCAAATAGTACAAGTCGCAATAAAATTTTCAGCAACTGTTAGACACACCTCACCGATGTGAACCATACCCATCGAACGATGCCTCGTAGAGAGGGTCAGACGAGCAGAGAAGGGGCGTGGCCTAGCTCGCCTGAGCCGTTTTGGCCACGGCTGTTGCTTGGAGATACTGTTATTTATTCAAAACAGCTACCAATAATCGGACCGCTCGGCCCTGTCTGAATGATTTCTCGAGTATTTGAATGACTAAAGCGTAGTTGAGCTGGGTCACACGGCAGCGGTTTGCGTCATTCCCCCAGCCAAGACTCAGACCTAGAGCGTAGATGACTAGAGTCGAGAAAAATAGCGCTGACGGAGGACAGCAACGCTGCCAAAACATTGAAAGATAACAAAAAAAAACAAGTGGGGAGTTTGTGGACAGACTTTTCTTGGAAAAGGTCTCCGGGGTAGGTAAGCTACCTAGAAGTTGAAAGGTGTGGGATTCCACTGGTCACGGAACATTATGCAAGCGATAGAGAAAAGTTGCTAATCCGGTTGTCTTCGCTCTTACGATAAGTCATGGTTGGGGAAAGGGACGCAGAGGTGTGCCGCATGGCTCCGCTGATCTACCGTGGGGCAGGGCACATTGGTTGGGGATTTTGGTCGAGTCTGTACGACCCCCCCCCCCTCAACAATCAGAGTTTCCCAAACTTCCTGCTGCTTTTTCCGAATTTCCTGAAAACTTCCCTACTTTCCCCAAAAATTTTGCTGTCCAGCGGGGGGGGGTATATACAGTCCCTCATCATGCGGACCGTGGGCGTGTCAAGCAGCTCATGAGTGTGCACACTGTGAAGCCTTCTGAAGCCGTTTTGTTGAATATGAAAAACGCGTTATGCGACAGAAAAGTCGTAGAAAACGAGGAATATTGAAGGAATAAGGCTGCGTTTATACTTTGCGGCAGCGTAGCGTAGCGTAGCGCAGCGTAGCGTAGCGCTTCCAGCGTACGCCAGCGGCAGTGCCGAAGAGAGGATGCATATCGATCTAGCTTCACCAGCGTCACCAGCGGCACGCTGGCGTACGCTAGCGGCACGCTAGCGTACGCCAGCGTTTCTCCAGCGTTTCACCAGCGTTTTGCTAGCGCTTGCAGCGGCAGGGGAGTAGAGACTATGGGAGAGCTGGAGGGTACAAAACTCATCGATTGCGCGTGGCGGTTCTCCACTCGCCCCTTAGTCTCTACAATGCACATCGCTTCTGCGTCTCCGACGGCCCCATAGTCTCTACGATGCACATTGCTTCTGCGTCTCCGACGCCACATAGTCTCTACAATGCACATCGCTTCTGCGTCTCCGACGGCCATATGGTCTCTACAATACACGTCGATTCCGCTTCTCTCACGGCCACATAGTCTCTACTCCCCTTGCCGCCTCCCAAGCGGCTAGCAAAACCGCTGCTGGTGAACGCTGGAGAAACGCTGGCGTACGCTAGCGGCACGCTAGCGTACGCCAGCGTGCCGCTGGTGACGCTGGTGAAGCTAGATCGATATGCATCCTCTCTTCGGCACTGCCGCTGGCGTACACGCTGGAAGCGCTACGCTACGCTGCGCTACGCTACGCTACGCTGCCGCCAAAGTATAAACGCAGCCTTAATACAGTCATTCATATTCATTTTCTCGCTTTGGAATAACTGGTGGAGAGCGGGCTTTGCACCAAGCAAAGGCAGCCGGCAACTGACCCGCCCCGACAAGCACGTAATGATGAAGGCGTGTATACTTATACTAACCATGAACAGTGAAATATCGCAAAAAGCGCAACTTACCACCTCATACAACGTGAATTACGACCCATCCCCTCCCAACAATGACCAAGTACGACCCCCCCCCCCCTTTACAACGTCCGTGAAGCGAGAAAAATCAACTATCAAAATAAATTTTTCTCAGCCCAAATACGACCCCCTCTCCTGGCGACCAAATACGACCCCCCTATTGGGGATTCCCAACAACGATGTGCCCTGCCTTGGCGTAGGGGTTGGTGGGAAAACACTTGAACGCGGTAAAATCTTGTCAGAAGAACTCGGTAAAATCTAGTCAAAACCTATGATTTCTACCAGTGCTGGCTATTCAGCAAACACGCGCGACTGCGGGCTCGATTGAATCCGCAGTAGGTACAGCCATTATTACAGAAGTCATTCGGGGCGTGTCAGCGTAGGGTGAATTTTGACACTGCGCTGGCCCGCTTTTCCTCAAATGTTGCAACTTTGGCTGTTCAATGCGTGGTAGGAAAGGGCGAAAAATTCTGCCAAAACCCACTCTGTGCTGACACGCTCCGACTTCCGTGATAACGACTGTGCCGCTGCTCCATAAAGGAGGAAGGTGGGATGGGAGGGGGGGGGGTCTGGGTGTCACCTAAAAAACAGTAACATCTCATTGTTTAATTACCCGTGGAAGAAATTGGTAGGCAATTATTGTTATGTACTTGTTGTAGTATTCGTAGCAGTCCGCTAGGGTAATGCATCAGTCATGCAGGACGTTTGGAAACCTAACCAAGGAAATATTTCTGAAGGTGAGTGAGAAATACGCTTATTTTTGAAAGCACGAGGAAGTGAGATGGAGTACAGCCAAGCATTTAAAGGCAGTGGGCACGAGGGGCGGGCGGTTACTGCCAATGTCATTGGTGGAAGGGCTGAGTGGGTGTGGCCAAATACCCTCTCGCAGCCCCTTCCACCAATGACGTTGGCAGTAACCGCCCAGCCATCATGCCCACTGCCTTTTATGGAGGGAAAAGAGACACAAAATCGGCTCCAATCCAGTACATTGTTCAGTGAATCCCCTCCTCACTAAATCCCCTTGCTTACTTAGGGATCCGACCTTGCATAGCGTATCCCAAAGGACATGTTGTGGGCAACAGATCCATTTGTTGGACGGCGCATGAACCGGCATTTTGCAATGATTGTCGTGTGTTTAGTATGAATTGTAAGGACCTGTTGAAGAACCAAGCAGCTACGTACACATCTATGTTCGCGTTGGTAGGGCAGACTTGGCGTGGCTGGTATGCTTTTTCATGGCTTATTTCCATTGATGACAACGGCTTTTTTTTTTACCCCCCCGCGGGGGGGTGTTTTTTCTGGAGCTTAAAAGACATGACTACATTGCACCTGACGCAAATATCCTGCCAGAAGCGGCGCGTCCCGCAACACATCAGAGGAAAGACACCTTCCCCATCTCCCTGATGGAGTGCATGTCAAGTCAGCTAACTAGGGAGTGTTAGCTAGCTTCCGCGTGTCGCCACAAGTTGGATGTTCTGGCTCACTACTCCGAAAAACAGGTAAGAAGGGGGGGGTGCAGACGAGGTGGAATTGGAGAAGCTGATGCGTGTCCAACAATTGCCGATCTGACACCGTCGCATTAATCTTTTATTAGCGAATAGACCCGGGATCAGAACTGGATGAAGTGTTTTCATTGAGATGTTACAGTTGGTTTCACTGCACACGCTGGGGCTTGTCAAGGGAGTGAGGTTGACGCGGCGCCGGCCCGTTCTCCATCATTTGTTGAACCGAGCAAAGCGGCAACACTTGGTACCAAATACGTCTGGGCGCTGCGTTGAGCTCACAATCCCACTCTCACGCCGTGTCTGCGCAAAGCCAAAGTGTGGAAAACTGCTAAAAACAACTCTATAGTAGGTGAAAATATGTTTAAATGACTGTTTACCAATGTGTTTGCGGCAACTAAGGTGGATTAATCTGGTGGGCGAGCTTCAGAGGAGGTCCACTCGGTGGAAATTTGTTGAACCGGCAAGCACCAACGAAGGTCTCAAAAAAAAATCGCCAATCTAAGAGTGTCCGAAGTCTAAACACAATCTCTATTTCAACACTATAAGTCAAATATATATATGTTGTTTTCAGAAAACTGGCGGACGGAAACACTGCGATTTCATGCAACCCTCGTTTGTCAAAAGCCCATCGGAAATGTCGGTCAGTGCTTACCAAATCTCATTTTCATCCTGCTAATTGGAATCAATATTTTGAAGTGACTTTCCTCCCAAAAGTTGTATTCATAGGTCCTAATCCCCTTGCTGGAAGTGAATTCAAAGCCATCAGTATTGTTTACGAAACGATCCATTCATTTGAAGAGTCAGTCGAATGGAAAAGGGAGAATCTATCGAACAAGTTAGTCCATTCTAGTTTTTCTACAGATCAGGAGCACAGAGTTCTAATTTTGAGCTTCATTTTGAAATTTTAAGTCGTCTTCACGCCGTACCACGTCACTTCATAAGACCTAGCCATAATTTACTTTAAACCATCATTTTGCAAACTATCAAGCTTATCAATACATCCTGAATATTTTTGAATAAGAATACATCTAGGCAGCTCTCCGAGAAACTCACGAAGAAATCGGCGTGGAGCCGAAATCAGTGGAACTATGGGGCCATCTGAAGCCGGTGTTCACGCGAACGATGACCTCAACGGTGGTGCCGATAGTTGGATGTATCGGTCTCGATGCATTAAGAAGTGAACGCGTCAATAGAAGAGAGGTGAGCTTATCCCTACGCGCTTCGTTCAAGTTCACTGGGAGCCAAATGCGCCCCTCCGGTCTTTCCAACGATGACAATGACACCACTCTCGTGGCAATCGTGGCACTACCTTCAAGTGAGGAAACTGAACGAGAAGTGATGCTATACAGCTCAGAAGGTTCAGGTTGGAAATTCTAGAAACCATCATGGTCTGGAAACCATCATGTTGCTGGGAAAGGCAGAAGTGTGACAATGAGAAGTGGCACAGGCTACCGTTCCTATGAATGAGGGATGGAGCCCTCGAGTTTCACCTAGGTGGATACAAACTGGTCTGCGCAGCTCTTTGAATCACGCAGAGCATTATTATTTGGGCAAATCGCTTTTGAATGTTCAATTTACGTCGGGTGCATTGCGTATCCGAGAGAGAACAGCTTAGCGCTCACACCCATCGCCCATCATTGCGCAGTCCGCGCTCATCGTATGGGCGAATCAGGCCATCTATGGGCACGTCAGGCACTTTAATTGTCCAGCTACTGCATTTGCTAACCGTCCTTTTCGCGTAGTCGCAACGATGAGGCGACCTTTAGAAAATTCTTCATTAAGTACATAGACTCCGCCCCACACGATCACTGTCGGCCCCGACCCTCCCTTAATTCATTGCAGAGTGAGGAGCTAAATTTTAGTCACAGAAATTAGACCCTTATTCAGGTACAAACGCTATTTTCTGTTCCACTGGAAGAACTGTGTCGTTCCACAGGCTATACTCGATTTTTGTCGAAGAAGTTCGAGTACACGTTGCCGGTCTTTTTCAGCAGGAATTTCACGGTTTGTTCATTTGCGAACGATTTTTTTTTGCAAAATGCTTTGTGCCTTCTCCTTCAAAGTTAGGATGGATGGCGATTAGGTCAGATGTTTAGAGTAGTTAGGCGTTGAGCAAGTCATAACACCCCCCCCCCGTGTGGGAATCTATCTGAGCTGGAGTGCCCCGCGTGCATTGCGGCGCACGTTAGGAAAGCCAAGACGTGGCTACAACGGAAAAGATTATGGCAAGGAGAGAATCGAAATTATGTGATAAAAGTCAAACAGAAATAGCCTAAGTAGGCTAACTAAAGTGAAGTTGATTTAGTTGGTTTTTACCTGGCTCAGTTGAGCTACTCAAGGATTCATTAATCAATTGAATTGAGTTAGCGGTTATCCTCGTTTTCCTCATATTAGAACGGAGAAGTGGGGGGAGACACAACACTATACCATCTTCACGCATGAATCAGTGCCAACCGTTTGCAGCTGCCGCATCGCGACCGCCCACAAGTGTGCTATGAATTCGGGCTTGTCCCATACTTGATTCTTTTGGTGTTTCAGGTCATCTCACATAACTCAGAAGAGTTCCTACCGCGTGAATTCCGTATCTGGGGTCTTTCCGCGATTATGCTTCATCAGCTACTTCTCATCATAGCGCCAGAGAGCTACCAGGATACCCTGCGAATGCCATTCTACTAATGGAATCGATATTCATCTGAATTTAGAGTAGTTATTTGTTTTTTGAAATATGTAGAATCCAGTTCTCATAGTAATTCTAGTGAAATCTCATAGGCAACCCAGGTTATGTTTTTATGAGTTTATGTTTCCAGTCGATTCGGGCTAGTCAGGGTGCAGAGGGAACAGAGTTCGAGCACAGGGACACAGAGGCTAGAACGTTGTTTCCTCTGCGTCTATGTTGTG